TGCTTCTTGTTTTGCCTTCTGGTGCTATGGAAAATAGGTCGATCCCCTCTGCTTTGTGGCAGCCCCTCAAATATTGGAACACTACTATCATGTCTCCCCTAGTCCTTCTTTTCCTTAAACTAGACATACCCAATTCCTGCAATTGTTCTTCATATGTTTTAGCCCCCAGCCCCCTAATCATCTTTGTTACTCTTCTCTACACTCTTTCCAGAGTCTCCACATCTTTTTTATATTGTGGTGACCAAAACTGGATGCAATATTCCAAGTGTGGTCTTACCAAGGCATTATAAAGTGGTATTAACATGTGATTTTGATTCCATCCCTCTGTTAATGCAGCCTAGGATTGCATTGGCTTTTTTGGTATCTGCAGCACGCTGCTGGCTCATATTTAAGTGATTGTCCACTAGGACTCCAAGATCCTACTCACAGTTACTGCTGTTGAGCCAAGTTTCACCTAGTCCAGTGATGGCGAACCTTTTAGAGACCGAGTTCCCAAAAACTGGCCCTGTCCCCGCTCCACCCCCTGCCCCACCCCTGCCCTGCCTCATCCCCCACCCCACCTGCCCACAGGGCCACTCACCGCCTCCAGCGCCCACCGCAGATCGCCCAGGGCGCCCAGCAACACCATGGTGGCCACTCCCTCTGCCCGCGCCCCGCAGCATCAACTGTGCGCAATGAGGCGTGAGGGCAGAGTCTTGTCCACGCTGCCTGGCTGCCAAGTCCTTGGCTGCACTGCTCTGTGTGGGCCACGCTCGGGGGCGACTCACCTCCAGGGGGGCTGCTGGTGAGGACGGGGTTATGTGGGGAGGCGAGGCTGGGGCAACGGCACGTGTGCCCACAGAGAGGGCTCTGAGTGCTGCCTCTGGCACGCGTGCCGTAGGCTCACCACCACTGACCTAGTCTATACCTACAACGTTCGTTTTTCTTGCCTAAGTGTAAAACCTTACTTTTATCTACACTGAATTTTATTTTTTTTAAATGTTCAATTCGTAGTGGCTTTATACAAGGTAGATGTATCAAGAGAGATATATACATGGGCCCAATTGGCAAACGAAAGCTTAGGACTGCATTGGCTGGAAACATGCGGAGGAGACCTTCATCCTGCACTGGATAAACAGTGGCTAAAATGATGATGCTATGTGTCCTTTCTGACTTATAATAATTTCTTCAGTGAGTAAGTGAAGTTACAACAGCATTGCAAAAGAACACATTTCTGGTGTAAAAGTTCACTCTTTAACCTTCAAAAGTGTGAAATTACTGATCTGGAAGAAAAGAGATTTAGCAAACATGTAAGGCGATTTGGATAAAAGAAATGGTTTATCCTAATGACTAAAACCCTGGCTGTAAATGAACAGTTGTTTTGTAATGCACTTTTAAAAAGCATTCTTCTTAAAGTCAGGTTTAAAGGTTTAGTGTAATAAAGCCAGATTGAGCATATTAACTGGAGCGGGTGAATGCTAAGCAGCTCTCAGCTTGCAAATGCTGGGAATCCCAAGGTGTTTGGCTGCATTTTGTAGTGACTGATACTTCCACGGACTTTTAACGGAATAAGAGAGTTGGAAGGGACGTTGGAGGTCTTCTAGTCCAACCTCCTGCTCAAGCAGCAGACCCTCTACAATTTCAGACAAGTAGCTGTTCAATCTCTTCTTAAAAACCACCAGTGATGGAGCACCCACAACATCTGGAGGCAAGCTGTCCCACTGATTGTTCTCACTGTCAGGAAGTTTCTCCTTAGTTCTAGGTTGCTTTTCTCCTTGATTAGTTTCCATCCGTTGCTTCTTGTCCTGCCTTCAGGCGCCTTGGAGAATAGCTTGACCCCCTCTTCTTTGTGGCAGCCCCTCAAATATTGGAACACTGCTATCATATCACTCCTAGTCCTTCTTTTTCTTAAACTAGACCTACCCAATTCCTGCAATTGTTCTTCATATGTTTTTAGCCTCCAGCCCCCTAATCATCTTTGTTGCTCTTCTCCGTTCTCCTTCTTTCCAGAGTCTCCACATCTTTTTTACATTGTGGTGACCAAAACTGGATGCAATACTTCAAGTGTGGTCTCACCTAGACCTTATAGAGCAGGGCTTTTCAACCAGTGGTATGGGTACCACCTGTGGTACATTGGCACCTGGCAGGTGGTACGCGACCATCTTAGAAAAGTGGTAGCGGGGGAGGGAATGAGCTGAACCGGTGGCAGCACCGCACAAGCCTGAGCGAGAGATGGCTGGAGCTGCAGGGCTGTCAGGCATCAGCGGAAGCGCCAGGATCAGTGCCGTTTTCCAGTTGATTGGCACTTCTTTGGGGCTGTCAGGGCTCAGTGCAAGCGCCAGGATCAGCGCCAGGCTCCAGCTGGAGCTCAGCACTGATCCTGGCACTTCTGCTGAGCCCAGAAGAAGCGCTGATCAGCTGGAATGTTGCAGCATCTCCAGGGTCCTGTGATTTACATTCAGATGCTTGGCAACTGATTCATATTTATGACGGTCATCGTGTCCCAGGGTCATGTGAAGTGACCAAAACCTGCTGCAACCACCCAGCAGACAGGGGGAATAAAACCAAACAATGCCAATCCTCAACAGAAATGCTCACAACAATGAAAACCTCGGACAGGAGGAAGAGTACCGCTGGGCGGGCAGGCAGGTGTCTTGCTTGGCTGTGCCTTGGAGGGCACTTTTTTCAGTGCCATTGTAACTTTGAACAATCACTAAGTGAAATGTTGTAAGTCGAGGACTACCTGTACTTCATCACTTTTTTCCTTTTTGGGGGGGTCATCAAGTTTTTGACACCTTGCTAGGCGACTGGTGGTACTCTGATATTGCCATATCCTAAAAGAGGTACAATGGGTGAAAAGGTTGAAAAGCCCTGTTATAGAGCAGGGGTGTCAAACTGTCGGCCCGCGGGCCGGATGCATCACGCGGAAGCCACGCCCACCCCATTGCCGGCAATGGCAAAACAGTCCCGATACGTTGCGCGATGTCACGTGACGTCGCGAGTTTGACATGTCTGTTATAGAGCGATACTAACACTTCACTTGATCTTGATTCCGTCCCTCTGATAATGCAGCCTAGGATCACACTGGCCTTTTTGGGAGCTGCAGCACACTACTGGCTCCTATTTAAGTAGTCGTCCACTAGGCTTCCAAGATCCCTCCCACAGTTACTGCTATTAAGCCAGGTTTCATCTTGAAAGGTAAAAGTGGGGGGGGGGGGGCTGAAGAAATGGGCAGAAATGCCTTTGGTAGCCTTAGGCTCGGATTTCTCACATTTAGTTCTTCTTACACTTAGTAAACATTTTTTGCTTTTGTGAAACTAGACAGCTATCTTGCTTTTTTTACTCATCTGGAATTTCAGATTCCCATTTGCTTCTTTTGTTTCAGAATCCATTATGAAAATTAATAAGCTCTTCACCTCCTCAGGGTAGCGGATAGCCAGGAGGTTCAAAGTTGAGACGACACCACCAGTGTGTGCAACCATTTACAAGGGCATCAGGGCTGTCATTTGACATTTTAGATCCCCCTCCCTTCTGTGGGCATCCCCGTTAATAACCTGTAATTAGTACAGCCTTGCAAAGATACAATAGGGAGACTGGATTCAAAGGGAGTTTGAGTAAACAATCAAATTAAAGTGTTGCCTTGAAACTGGGTTGCATCACAGGCCTTGGAATAAGTTTGAGCTGGTTGTAAAAAAAAAATTAAAATCAATCTATTTGAACGTTGAGTTGGATTTCATTGATATTAAGAATCAAATCCTCTGTTCCGAATGAATCAGACCGGATCAGTATATTCCAGTGGTAAGAACGCACCTCCCCTGGGGATTAAATATTTTGGGGACTATCAAGAGAGGCAGAATATTATATTTCCCCAAAGGAGAAATGGAGAAAAATCTTAACAAAGGCAGAAAGCAGCCCCAGTCTTTCTTAATAGCCTCAAGTCTTTAGAGATGCCTGCCAGCTGCAAACATTTGACTTTTGATCATGGGGATGCTGCAACGGTCATAAGTGTGAGAACTGATCATAAGTCACATTTTTTAGGGCTGATGTAATTTCAAATGCTCACTAAATGAATTGTTGTAAGTCAAAGACTACCTGTGATCAGAATCTGTCTAACAAACCAGTAAAAATATTCATCTATGCAGAAATGGTTGCTATCGCTGAGATTCTGAGAAAGGGGGTTCTTTATTCTAGCCAATCCAGTTGAGCATTGAACAGAAAGAACACAAAGTGATCTAGACCAGAGGTCCCCAACCCCCAGTCTGTGGACCGGTACCTGGCCGCGGCATGCCAGCAAGCGGTCCGCACAAACAAGAAAAGCTCCATCCGTGGGATGTAGGCAGCACACAAAACCACTCACCCTCTGGTCCGTGGAAAAACCTCTCTCCACGGAACCGGTCCCTGGTGCCCAAAAGGTTGGGGACCTCTGCTCTAGACTCTTTCAGGTGACCCACCTGTTGATCTGCTGATCTTCCTTTCTCCAGGAAGACAGAGACAGAAACCTCCCACTGGCGACTCCTGTTTTGTTGATTTGCAACCTTTGGCCTGCTTTGGGTGTCAAAGCCAGAGAGGAAAGAGCAAGGTCTATCTACGGACCACACCCAGGGTTCTCTTGAGGGATCTGGATTGCATCCAAGGAGTAACCTAAAAGCCGCATCCTTCCAATTATTTATCACTGAGCCTGACATGCCACTGTCGTTATCACTGAATTTTCAGGATCATAACTGGAGGGGGGGAGGGCGAGGCAGGTGTTTGTCCCCTCTGTTTTGTCCCCTCTGTGAAGAGAAAGAGCAGTGTGGAGGAGGAGGACGAGATGATGATAGAAGAGAAGGTGGTGAAGGAGGAGAAGGAGAGGAGGAAGAGGAGGAGGAAGAGTAGGTGGTGATGGTAGTGATGGTGATGGTAGAGGAGGAGGAGATGATGGGAGAGGAGGAAAAGGTGGTGGAGGAGAGGGACAGGAGGAAGAGGAGGAGGAGAAGGTGGTGATCGTGGTGGTAAAGGAGGAGGAAGAGGAGGAGGAAATGATGCTGATGGTGGTAGAGGAGGAAGACGAGGAGGAGGAGAAGGTGGTGCTGATGGTGATAGAGGAGGAGGAAGAGGAGGAGAAGGTGGTGATGGTAGTGATGGTGATGGTAGAGGAGGAGGAGAAGAAGAGGAGATGACGGAAGAGGAGGAAAAGGTGGTGGAGGAGGAGGACAGGAGGAAGAGGAGAAGGTGGTGANGGAGGGAGGGAAGTGGGGATAAAGAAGGAAGGAAGGGAGAAAGGGAGGGAGGGAGGGAGGGAGGGTAGAGAGAAGGGAGGGAAGTGGGGATAAAGAAGGAAGGGAGAAAGGAAGGAGGGAGGGAGGATAGAGAGAAAGGAGGGAGGTGGGGATAAAGAAGGAAGGAAGGGAGAGAGGAAGGAAGGAAGGAGGAAGGGAGGGAGGATAGAGAGAAGGAAGAAAGGGAGGGAGAGAGGGAGGATACAGAGAAGGGAAGGAAGGAAGGGAGGACAACATTGATTCTTCTGATTCTTTCAAATGCTAACTTTCGGTTTGAACAGAGCCCCTTTTGTGTCTGTGAAGGTTAAGGTACCGCTTGCATTTTGCTGCTGTTTAAAAAGGCTCCCTCGCCTCACCTTTAGCCAGCGGAGGAAAAGGAAAGAATTATTACGGGCTTCTTACACGGAAGTGAAAAAGAGGACACAAAAATCCTTCTAGAGCAACCCACCACCAGGGGGCGCCATGCCCTTCAAAATGTCAATAAGGCACAGACCGGATTAAAATGCAGCTGGAGTGAACCGATTTAAAGGGGAAATCCCTCATTGTAAATATCTTCATGTAACGTTGAGCTTATAGGTTAAAAGCTGAGGCTAAGAGAATCACATTGATGAACAGGAAAAGGGATGTTATTCTAGATGACAAGCAATGTTTGTGGGAAAGGCGTAATGCATCTGTTTTGGAAAAGGTAGCTGCCTACTTAATGCCTGTTCCAAGTTACCACAGAGCCCCCTGCAGCGACTTGTGGCCGGTTTTCAAAGTTACGACAGCTGCACACACACACACATCTCCAGGTCACGAATAAAACTCAAACCTAGATCATGCCATTGTGCACCAAAAGTGCACGTACTCCTCGACGTACGACCACGACTGAGCCCCAAATTTATGTTGCTAAGCGAGACATTTGCCAAGTGAGCTTTGCCCCGTTTTATGACCTTTCTTGCTACAGTTGTTAAGTGAATCCCTGCGGTTATTAAGTTAGTGATGTGGTTGTTAAATGAAGCTGGCTTCCCCACTGATTCTGCTTGTCAGAAGGTCGCAAAAGGGGATCACATGACCCCCCCGGGACACTGCGACCGTCGTAAACATGAGTCAGTCGCCAAATGGCTGAATTTGATCATGTGATCATGGGGATGCCGCCATGGTTGTGTGAAAAACGGTCGTGAGTCACTTTTTTCCAGTGCCGTTGTAACTTCGGTCACTAAACGAACTGTTGTAAGTCAAGGACAACCTGTACAGTTGTACCTGTCACATTGGGCATGGAATTTTACAGGTATGTAGAATTGCAGATACTTTTTCCTTCCTTCAGAAGAGAGGAGCACGACCACGTGTCAGAATCGATCCTTGTGTAATTAATAGAAATATTATATTATCAATATTATATAGCTAGTTCGTAAAAAGAAGTCGACCAGCATGGATTCTTTAATTCACGAATAGCACAATAACGCAACCATCTGAGATTTAAGGCAACCGGTAAGAACAGAATCCAGCAGCATCACAATTATGGGGTCAAAAGCATGGAGAAGGCAGATGGCAAGCAGAGAAGGGCATTAATTTAAGGGTTCCTCCAGTGCTTTCAAAGGCAGCTGCTGTGCGAAAGGGCTTCACGGAAATTAACTGATCAGTGTATTCAGTTTTAAACTCAAAGAGATCCAGAATGAGAGTTTGTTATTAATACTCAGTGGTTCTCTCTCTCTCTCTCTCTCTCTCTCTCTCTCTCTCTCTCTCTCTCTCTCTCTCTCTCTCTCTCTGTGGGTGTAGGGGTATGTGTGTGTGTGTGTAGCTACCAAATCAGTACCTATTTCTTCCTTCTAAAAAAAGAATTACACTCCAGACGGTGACAATTTATATCTAGCTCAATCTGCTGATTTATGTAAATAGATGCAAAGCCAAAACAGAGGAGGGAAGGAAGTGTGAAAACAAAGTCAGCAAGCGAGCAATCTTTCTCTTTTGGGTCCTTTGCTTCTTTCTCTGATTTATCCCCGCTCCATTTAATTTTATTTGCATTTGGCTGATCAGACTGAACTTTTTAGTCTCACTCAGTCTGCCGTTATCACCGCAGCCATGGCCACCCAATGGGCCATGCCCACCCGGAACCCGATGATACATAAGTGGGTTTTGGGTTGCAGTTTCTAAAAGGTTTGCCACCACTGGTATAGGGTTTCCTGCCTAAGTAGAAGGTTGGACTAGAACAGGGCTTTTCAACCTTTTCACCCATGGTACCACTTTTAGGATATGGCTACATCCGAGTACCACCAGTCGCTCAGCAAGGTATCAAAAATTTGATGACCCAAAAAAAAAGAGGAAAAAAGTAATAAAGTAACAGGTAGTCCTCGACTTACAACCATTCGCTTAGTGTCTGCTCGAAGTTACAATGGCACTGAAAAAAGTGCCCCCAAGGCACAGCCAAGCAAGATACCTGCCTGCCCACTCGGCGGCACTCTTCCTCCTGTCCGAGGTTTTCATTGTTGTGAGCATTTCTGTTGAGGATTGGCAGTGGGGTTGGGGTGGGGGGGTGTTTGGTTTTTATTCCCCCATTGGCACTTCTTCAGGGCTCAGAAGCACCAGGATCAGCACCGAGCTCCAGCTGGAGCCTGGCGCTGATCCTGGCGCTTCCACTGAGACCTGACAGCCCCGAAGAAGCACCGATCAGCTGGAAAGCGACACTGATCCTGGTGCTTCCGCTGAGCGCTGACAGCCCTGCAGCTCCAGCCGTCTCTCGCTCAGGCTTATGTGGTGCTGCCACCGGTTCAGCTCATTCCCCTCCCCTGCTACCACTTTTCTAAGATGGTCGCGTACCATCTGCCAGGTGCCAATGTACCACAGATGGTACCCGTACCACTGGTTGAAAAGCCCTGGTCTAGAAGACATCCAAGGTCCCTTCCAACTCTGATATTCTATTCTATTCTATTCTATTCTATTCTATTCTATTCTATTCTATTCTATTTCCTATTCTATATTCTATTCTATTTCCTATTCTATTCTATATTCTATTCTATTTCCTATTCTATTCTTATTTCCTATTCTATTCTATTCTTATTTCCTATTCTATTCTATTCTATTCTATTCTTCTAGTCTATTCTATTCTTATTTCCTACTCTATTCTACTCTACTCTATTCTATTTCCTATTTTATTCCACTCCACTCCACTCCACGTACTCTTCTCTCTGGGCATAACCCAGCCATGAACGTTTAACGCCCCCTGGGGAGGGAAAAGAGGGCTTAGTCACCAAGAGGAAGGCGTCACCTACGCGCTCAAACGCGTGTAGCTCTTGCCGAAGTCAATCCCTTGCAGGCAGAAAACTCGCATCTCAGCGGGAGGAAACGATCACTTTGGGTTTTTTTCCTGGGAGGCTGGCTGGACGGCCGCTCTCTGGCCTCCCATTGCAAAGGGCTCCCGGGGGGCAGGAAGCGGGCTCCAGCGAGCCGGCTAGCTAGACGGAGCCTCGTGCGCGGCGCGCCTGCTGCCTTGAGAACCGAATGGAGAAGAAGAACTAGATTGTCCTTTTAAAGGTGCCCTATAATCAGCACAGGCCGAAATGAGATTTCGCGGCAGGCAGCTCTCAAAGGGCGACCCCCTCCAACACACGCTGCATCAAGCTGAGAAAGAAAAGAAAGAAAGAGAAAGAAAGAAAGAAAGAGAAAGGAAGGAAGGAAGGAAGAGAAAAAGAAAGAAAGAAAAAAGAAAGAGGAAAAGAAAGAAAAAAGAAAGAAAGAGAAAAAGAAAGAAAGAAAAGGAAGGGAAAGAAAGGAAGAGAAAGAAAGAAGAGAGAAAGAAAAGGAAGGAAGAAAAGGAACGAAGGAAGAAAGAAAGAAGGAAGAGAAAGAAAGAGAAAAGGAAGGAAGGGAGAAAAGGAAGAGAAAGGAAGAGAAAGAAAGAAGAGAAAGAAAGAGAAGGAAGGAAGAGAAGGAAGGAAGAGGAAGGAAGAGAAAGAGAAAAGGAAAGAAGGAAGGAAGGAAGAGAAAGAAAGAAGTAAGAGAAAGGAAGGGAAAGAAAGAAAGGAAGGAAGGGGAAGAAAGAATCTCTCCCCCCCCACACACACACGTGGCCCAGAGAAACGGCAGGAAATTTCCACGTGCAGGGAAGGCCCCACTTCCTCCTTCTCTCCCTTCCGTCCCAGAAGGCGTCCCCCCTCCCCACCCCCAGTCCCGCCACTCAGCCGCAGCCCCAGCCGGGCTACCCCGAGACCAAAGCGCCCCGCCGCCTCCCGCCCCCCGAGCTGCCAGCTTGCTACGTGCGGGGGAAGCGGGGGGGGTGGGAGGCGCGGGCGGCCGCCCGGCTTCCTCCGGAGCTCTAGCCGCGCAAGTGCGGCCGCCTCCGGCCCTCCCCGGCCCGCCAAGAGCCGCCTTCCGAGAGGCGGAGCGGGCGGTCCCGGGCAGCCAATCTCCGGCGCCCCGGCGGCTGGTCGGGCCGAGCCCAGCGCGTCGGCGGGGGATGCTGCTCGGCTGGCGGCGGCGGCGGCGGCGGCGGTGGAGAGGAGCTGCGCGGCCACATTGTTGCGTCCCTGCTCGGTCCGGGCGGCGGGCGAGCTCCCCCGGGCTGGGAAGGCGGAGCGCGGCGGTGGGTGCCTCGCCCCGATCCCCGCTTGGCTGGAGGGGCTGCGAGGCCGGAGGGAGCGCGGGGGGAGGGGAGGGGGTCCTTCCCTCCCG